GTGATCGGCGCGGTGCTTTGCCTGAGGCACAGATTGAGAGAGAACAGCTGAATATAGAGCCTTCATAAAATAAAATTAAAAAAAACATAATTTAAATTGTACTGTGTGTGTGTGTATTAAAGTTAAGAACAAATTAATGTTGTTAGACATTTAAATATCACACTTATGACTCTACCATGTTCGCATGGCCGCGCGCCTCAGAGACTATCATATATTTTAGCTGTCGAGATCCGAGGATAGTTGTAACATCGTATTAGCTTTATCCACCATAGTACATATTTTTTGAAAGCTCTCTTAGCAGTGTAGAGTAGGTACCTAGAATAAAAATTTTGCAGTAGCTCCTTGTTTTTTTCTCTACACTGAATTTATAACTATTTTTACTTTAATTTTTACACGATTACGACTAGAATGTTCTGCATTGAACTAGCTGTATTCTCCAGCTTGTAACACCGTTAGACCAGGGCCAAATATCGTAAAATTGTTCCGGTCCGTGCCCCAGCCCGCAACATGGCGGCCGATACGTGCCGCGGCCGCGTTGCCCGATATTTATTTAACGGTCGCCGGTATTAGTTCGTGGCAGTTAATTTCGTGGCAAAAGGCTTACGGAGTTACGACTATGTGTTTCGATTTAAAAACTAGTAACTCGATTTTAGTAGTTACTTCATATTATAGTGTTATGTTTGAATTGGTCTATTATATTTTCCAAACTCTACCTATGACTTGATTTTTCACAAAAAAGCTTACTGTCATGCATTCATCTAAAAGCTTAGATATACTTGATTTTTCACGAAGTCTGTGTATACAGGAATGGTCACTCACAGTAAATAATAAAATGTTTTTCTTAAAACCTTAACGCCTAGGAAACATTTTCTATACTTATCTTACGATTGATGAAAATAAGCTTACTTCCCAAAGGAATAGGTCCGCTCGCGTGATGCGATAGCTTAGCGATGTCAGATTAAGATTGAAGCCCTGTGCTAACCTCATTCATTCCCCCCACCACATCTCGGGTACCCTTCCAAACGATCTGTTTACCCCCTGTCTTGCACTACTTAATTTTAGTGTTAGCTTTAACTAATTAAATGTCTTATTTTCATATGCCTGATTTCTCGCGTGATGCTATAGTTAAGTCGATGTCAGATTAAGATTGAAGGCCTGTGCTAATTTGATTCATTCCCCCCACCACATGTGTTATGTTTACCCTCTGTTTTGAACAACATAATCCGTATTTTCATTGTTAGCTTTAACTAATTGAATGTGTTATTTTCAAGCGTTTTGGGTTACGGTATTCTAGTCTTCTTATATGTAGTTCTTATCTTGTCCATTTATATTGCATAGTTTTGAGTTGGTGAATATGTCCATAATAATTTGTTGTTTTAATTTAAAACACAGTAACTATTTGAAAACAAAAACATATTCTACAACAAAGCTCCGCCTAACTTTCTCTAAAAAATAACCAATATTCTAATCGTGTTTTGGTAAAAGAAACGAGTAAATAAGTGGAAAAAAATATACACGATGCCACATATTCTGATCATACTCCAAATCGTCTGAACCAAAGTCTGAAAAAAGTAAGTAGCCAACAAAATATCATACAGACCAAAGTATCCGTAACGTTCCTTTCATACTAACAACAATATAAATCCAAAATGTATAATTTCGTGATGTGTGTAGTCAGTAGCAGATATAGTCGACTACAACAAGAATATCTAATCAAGTGAAAAGGAAGGGAGGGCCGCCGCGCCCTTGAAATGTGTGCTGTAATAAAATCCGAGCCTTCGCCGGTGACGCAATCAGTCTACGCAGTTGTCTATGAAAGCCATGGGTATAGACTATAGAAAGAGTATAGACAATGTTATTTCTAGTTCGAATGTTTTGAAAACGCAAAGGGGCAATCATTGTCTTCAATCATCAGAGACTGAAAATTATGTAGTTGAAATGTTAGAAGGAAATCGTTGGTGTTTATGTGCGAACATTAGAACACCATATAATCGGATAGTTAAATGTTTTAACCATTGATATTATTAATACACATTTGGCTTGCCAGAATAATGTTTCCTATCTTGGTGGCTGAAATGATGATGATGATGATGCATAACTAATACATTCGATTTTAATCTACGCAGTTAAGGTACTACTGCATTTACGCAGTTACATCTGTATAATATAGAGTTTTTAAATTTCAATTATAGCTGTGAAGCGCGTTAGTTTTATTTCGAGGTAGGTAAATAGGCACATACGAATTCCTCGCTTCCGCTGCTGATTTTTGACAATAAAAACCCCCACACTTTTTGTCAAGTATTTTTTCAAGTAAGCGCTGCTTATTTGCCTTTACGCAACGCAAGCTCCTGAGTCCTGACTTGTTAAAATAAAATACCTACATTTCTAATGCGTAGGCAAAAACTGAATCAGTAATGAACACGTCCTAAGTAAACTGTTTGCTAAAAGGTTCAGTACTATGGTTTTAGGTTTTTGAAAAGCCTTCAGCTGTAAAGGCCTCGATTATACGTTTCATTAATTATGTAATTAGATTAATGCGAATTTATATTCCCTTTTCGCTTGGGGATTCATAAAATGTAGTAAAATTGCTCTTTGATCATGCTTATTTGAGAACTGTCGGTACTCATTTGCGGTAATGAGATGGAAAGGCTGGCCTTGATATGGTGAAACGTGTCACGGCATTATTCTGCGATTACAAAATCACGACATGGTTGAAAAAATGGTTGCCTTTATTCTTTGAAAACATCTTCGGGTTTTTAATTATTTGATTGAGAAAATTACATGTTATTGTATGATATTATACTTTAATATTGATATGGTAGTACAAAGAGTCCCAAGTAAAAAAAAAACATTTTCCTGCTGGAGAGGTCCCTGGATGCGAGAGCGGCGCAGGACAAGTTGTGGAAATCCAGTCCAGCTGTGGACGTCTTTCGGCTGAAACAAACAAAACCATATTCCAAGTGTGAGTTGGGGCAAACATTCTCAGAATCTTGCAACTTTTATACGCGGTTACAGTCGATACAGCAGACTACAATAATTTGCACTTCTTAGAATAACATACTGTGACCGTCGTTTATACTTACATCAGTGTAATCCAATTGGTTAGTTTTGTTCTACCCTCGTGCCATGCATTTTTTGTCTATTTCATCTGAATACAAATAGGGTGTAATGAGTCCAACTGCGTTACGTCGTACCAGGAAACATTAAGCTTTATCAGAAAAACCTTTAGCACTTTCCTTATTAATTTAATCTCGTAGGAAAATACTTTTCCCTTTGTCTTTTATGCCGGAAAAGTTTTTTCTTGTATTAATTATTTTCTGTGTTGTGTTAAGTGAAAAAATAATAATGGGTTCTATGAAAGTTAGTTTGTAACGAAAATCCATGTTCGTTTCAGCCAAATGAAGTCCACTGTAAAAAGCAAACCTATATAGTTACCAAGCGTCATACGAGTATACTAAGCTTCTGTATTCTCCAAAAGTCCTGAATGTGGAGGAAATGACGCAGTTACACAATTTGCGGAGTTTTCAGGATTTACATATCGTCTGCCTTTCTCATTGGCTGCTGTATTGATTGGCGATACGTATTACGTCACTGGCGAAGCTGAAGTGCGTACTTCGACTAGTTCTTTGACCCTGCCATTGCCAATTTGATCATCAAAAGTAATGATGCGACTTGATGCCCATTGTAATTACGTTATTATAAGCAGTAAAAGGGCTATTTTCAGAAATGAGCGCCCATTATAGTTCCAAAATTTAATTTGATTAAAGTTAAATGCATATAAAACTGGAAAGCATATTCGATAGTAGGTAAGCAATAGACCCTCCATTACTTACCTACTATCGAATGGTAACTGACCATGAACAAATGTTTGCGCAAACCTCTCTTATCTACCACAGACAAAGACGTTGAAATTCTTATTTCCGCAGAAGCGAATTTAAAGAATGACCATTGTTGTCTAGCACTAGAGTTGAATGTTATAAAAGGTCAATAGTTTTATTTTAAAAGATAAAGTTTTTTTTTTACTAGTGCATGTGTGCATACTACATGTAGAGTTAATAATGCAGGGTTGATTTATGATGAATATTACGTATACTGGGTATAACCCAATCGTTTGTCCCCGTGTGTCAGAAGCTTTACAAAATGCAATCCACAACAGTAATGGTTTTATTAGAGACAGCAAAATGGTGTAATTGTATGAAACGAGAACATTTCTCATCACACGGGGTTTATTGACGTGGGCGTGAGGCGCAGGTGCAAACACTCATTCAGAGCTTTATTGCAGCGCAATTTGCTCGATCTAGGGGTCTTCTTAAAAACAACACTCATTTTTTATAATGATTGTTTGTTAGAGATGTTTTACAAGAAGCCAAATAACTGAATTAAAGAAAGATGAAATGTGATTCATAATTATAGGAATACATGAGAGTTGTGTAAACTTAGTTTAAGTTATAATTGTGCGTCTAAAATTCAAATCAGGCCGATGAAGTTGATCAGCAGTGCTGAAATCAAAGCGCACGTGCCCCGAATGCCCTTAAAACGGGTTCCATTTCGCTTCGGCTCGACCCTCGCCTCGTTTGCATTTTCAAGTATCCAATCGGATAACAAGCCTCCGCCTGTATTATAGGTAACAGCATTGCTCCTTTGATAATATCCTCGACTGAAGAAGTCCCTTATTACATCATATACATACCTATAATGCATATAAATAGATCAAGATAGCTAGGGGAAAATAATGTTAGACTCGCATTTAACATTTTCACAGACGGGGATGTATTGTCCGTTAAAAATTTCGAGAGTCAGTGATTAAAGCCAATCTTAGTGTGTTTAGGGAGTTGTCGGCCAATTGAAACGGTCAGGTTGAGTAGATTGTGTTATTTGCGGTGTCGGCCGCATGCGCGCTGGCGGGTCGCGCAGCGGCGTTAGATCGAAGGCTCGGGCGCGCCATCCCGCATGCGCGCCGCCGCGACTCCGCCGCCTCCGCCGCCGGCCCGCAGTCGCACCGCGCTCCCCTCCGCGACGCCATGTCGCCGGCTGCGACCTGACCGAGCACCTAGCTCAAGGAAAACAGTGTACGCTCTAGTGGATCAACCAACGATCACTACAACTCTCCGGTAAGTCCCCTCCGCCGCCCGGACCGCAGTGCAAATTCCCAGGCCTTTCCCGGACACAAACCCCCGAACGGGTTGTAGAGGGCGCTGCGAGCGCCATGAGTCATCTCTGCGACACGTTTTTCATGGCCGCCCCCTAGATCTCGCCAGTCCCGTAGGTGTCCTCCGAAGACGGTTGCAGTGTGTTACGTAAGTGCGTCGGGGCAGTGCAGCGGCCGTGGTGCCTACACTTTCAAGCAGAGCGCTGCGCACTCGAGCGCAGCCAATTACGGCACGCGAGGACTGCTTTCAGGAAAACATTCACCATTTTGTACGCGAACCTTGTGCTGGCAACTGTGGATTCAGTAAAAACTCATTCAGTAAAGTGTGGTTCACCGTCATGAGATCCAAAGTCGTGCGTTCGGTTGTTTTTCTCAAAGGACTATGCGTTATGTGTGATATTTTTGTCGGATTGTGAAAGTGTTTCTTGAATTTTCTTTACTGATCTGTTGTTGAAGTGTTCTGTTACGTTGCATAATATTCGTGCGACATACAGTAGGTATGGATGTTTTTTCAGCTGCTTTTGGCAATAATAAACGAAAATGATTGCACTGAGCAATGCGCACTCACTTGTTTTAATTGCAACTTTCATATTTGGTAATTGCGCAATAGTTCGCGGACAGATGTGCACGTAGGTGCCGTTGCAAATGTTCGTTTGAAAACCGCACCCGTGACTCTACATCATTGATTTTATTGCCTCCTTTTTTTGTATCCAATATTGATAGCACTTTGAATAAGCAACGTTAATCCGGCAAAACGATGCCAAGAATAGAAGCGAAGTCATAACATTAGCCTAATTTTGTTTATAATAAATAATTCATTATACAACGATAAATTTCTTGTAAATTATGTTATGCTGAACTGAATATTTGATACACTTTGTATTGAAGTCATCAACCCGTTTAAGTGTAAGTAGTTAAAAATCGCAAATACCATTTAGTTAGAGATAACTGTAGTTTAAATTGCAACGTCTTTCAACAATTTCCGACACATCTCATCAAAGTAGCTCCGCTTAAATTCCTAGCTATTAAATACTACAATAAGTTTAAAATGAACAGTAACGCTCCGTGAAATTGGATTCGTCCGCTAAAGTAGTAGATGTAACACAGTAGCCTAGTTAGGCAAGCGAATCAGCTGAGAGGCGCGCGCGCACGCGATGCGCCGCTTGACCGCGATCGAACTGGGACCTGCCCTTACGAATGTTAAACTGTATCAAAACATCTTTGTTACATACGCAAAATACCTATGTTATATACGGATAAAACAAAACAAGATCGTTAACTTAAAATAATACCACAGATTACTAATTTGTTACTGAAATCAAATTGAATCAATCAAATCTATTATTTTATTCAATTTTAACCAATATTTTGGCACATGACTATACTTATTAACTAGTTTTAACAAAAAACGAAAACAAAACAGGATCAGTTTATAATAATTCAGTTTTTACAAGTAATAAAGAGAAACCGAACGGGTTCATCATCTCATATTGAGTAGATAGTAATAGTAAGTAATTAGCAACATTTCACTTTGCAATTTGTCGGACTACAACGCCAACTGCGGTTACGGGTTCGATCCTATTGCGGCCATATTATGTTGATGAACAATGGCATTTATATTATTATTCAGTCTTGGACTTCTATGTTTTTTACTATAATAGGAGGATTAGCCTGGGACTTCATAATGGTAGAACTGGTGTTTCTACTTTGTCTGAAGTATTTGGCCAAAATACAGACAACAACTAGTAAACATTAATTAACTTAGTAAAACAACGCCAATTACTCACCACGAGTTTCCACTTTAAACATCTTTATTAGAAGCAGTTTAACAAAATGGGAACGAAACTAGATGCACATATAAAACACGCTTCTGTTTAACACAGTAAAACTTACTCAGAATTACAGAATTACAAGTAAAATAGAAAAACACGGGTCTCTTCGCATCACTTTTTATATGCGTTACATATTATGTAGGGTCTCACGCTTTGACATTTCGGCTGCTATGTTTAAAATATTACAGAATTACAACACAGTAAATATATGAGCTAAAGCAGTACGGAAACTAAGCCCTTTCGTCGAGTTAAATACCTACACTTCAACTGAGTGTTAGGGTTGTCACTCTTAATCTTTATATTTAACTAGCTTTCCGCCCGCGGCTTCGCCCGCGTGGAATTTTGTCTGTCACAGAAAAACTTTATCGCGCGCGTCCCTGTTTCAAAAACCGGGATAAAAAGTATCATATGTTCTTTCCCGGGACTCAAACTATCTCTATGCCAAATTTCATCAAAATCGTTTGCGAGGTTTAAGCGGGAAAGCGTAACAGACAGACAGACAGACAGAGTTACTTTCGCATTTATAATATTAGTTGGGATAAGGTTTTTACTTACTTATTTATTAAAACGTTTATTTAGGTTATTTAATTATCAAATATGTAATTTAGTAAATTATTTGACTAAGTAGTTAAAAAAATATTAAATTAGGTACAATTCATCACTTAGTACAAAAGCGCGCTGAGAAAATTACTTTATCAAATAGAACACACAAATTGTTAAGAAGCGTAATTACGTAATTTAAAAATAACTATTACAAAATCAGATGTAAGCATTTTATTTAAAAAGTAATATTTAATCATTTTTACCATTCAGAATCATTAGGAAGTTTAAAAAATGAAAGTTTTGGTTTTGAAGATGCCGAGTTAAAGTAGCCGTATACTACGCAATACACTCGTGGCATGTTTTTAAAAATACAGCGGACAGTGGATGCAATAAAATTATTATTAAAAACGCAACGCGCGCGACACCCGCGACGGATGGACTGCGAGGTTCGCTTAGAGCTCGTGTAAAGCGTGCGTCTGTGTGCGTGAGTCTGATTTCGAGCGTTTGTATGAAGCTTCCGTACTGTTTGATTTATCTACTGTGATTACAAGTTTCTTGTACAATTTAAGTACATGAAGCTATATTTTGATTACAAGGGACTGGAACATAAACGTTTGCGTTTTGCTAGTAGATGTTTAGATTGAGCAAAATTTTGAGTAGTACCTAAATGAAATTATAGCGAAGTAAAGGATGCCCGTAACGAAATTCTACACATTTTTACATACTTTACTTTTGAATGTATCTACTTTGATTACTTCAATCGTATTCGTAGATGTAATCGTATACTTAGTGCTTTGAAGGTCGGGAAGCAGTTACACTAAACGAAAAATAACTCAATGCGATACGAATAAAAAAAGAACATTACTTTTAGTACGATTTCTATCGTGCCGTGCTTCGAAGACATTAAAATTTCAAACGTGATTTAGGTAAATAAGATTTTTTAGTAGGATAGGTATTTATTGAAGTCACAGTATAACACTTGAATCAATGTAAATATGAAGAAATAAATAATAAACTTGTAGTTACTCAACTTAGTAAATAAACAAAAAGCAAAATTGAAATACTAGAAACACAAACGAGAACTGATAATCTACAATACTATTCGTTGTTCGGTTTGTCTAATTCTCCTTTTCAAGCGCAATACTAATTACTTTGCTAAAGTTATCATCGAGGAAACTACTAAAATTAACAAGTAACTTTTCCTCAATTAGGTTTTATCATAACTGACTGACAAAACATGTAGAATGTTCCTTTGCTAGAAAATTGAAATGTTTGAATTTGCGAGCTAAGGCTAAGACTTATCCGGTGCATCTGCACGAATAAAGTTTATTAATTTTCTCTCTGCTTCTTACTACCAATTCTCAAAAACTCCCACTAAGTTTTATACTAGGAACAATAAAAATGTAATTCTTGTGAGATAAATAAAGATCTTAAACCACAAAAATAGTGTCTAAGCGCGGCGTGCGCTGTTCACTGTGCCCAGCCAACCAAAAGTTTCAATCGCGTGAAAAATTGAGGATGCTAAAGTGTGTATGCGCCTAGTTCTACTAACGACACACCTTTTGCTGGTACCTCTAAATAGCCTAAATAGCCCCCTTTCATGCAACCGAACGTCGTAAATGTTTACAATTTACAAGGAAACTTTAGTAGAGATAGGGACTTCGCCTATTTTCCCCCCTCGATTAGTCCGCTGACGTCACCACGGCATTTACAGTAATACCCAAAGTCGGATAATTGTTATCGCTACGACGTCTCGCCAACATTAGGGCCCCGGCTCCCACATTCTTAGCCCGTTTCTGGGGCTTTAGGAATATTCCAGCTATTTGCTCGTACTCTTTTACTGCTTTGACATTAGGCGTTAATTTGGGACGGGCGTTTTGGCCAGTGCCTATTTAGGCAGTTATTAGGTGTCAAAGTTATTTTGAGGTTGAGGGATAGACTTAATTTCACGTTGCCACTTTTTGAGGTCTACATCGGCCTCCCTAGATAAAATAATGTTAGTGACAGATTAACTTTGCAATCGCTTCAGGGCGATATAATTACGTCCAAAAAGGCCAGAGCGAAGTGGTTTCAGAATTAAAACTATGACAAATGTTGCCTTGTCCTGCTTGAAGTCCTATGTGAAATCTGGGAGCACGGGAGTGCTAAATTTTTAATCTCCCGCTCATTCGACGATAGCGATACGGCCATTCCTCATAATTTGACTAAGATGTTTCAATTTGTGAAGTTTAAGGCTTGTAGAGCTAAGGCGTATAGTTAGAAGTTTGGCACATCATGAGGTCTGATAACTTTTACACAGTGCGAGCCATAACGGTTTTGTTTTGGCAAAAAATTACGTGTTTTTGGTAGGATCCGTGATCAGCTTAGCAAAATTTTGGCTCTTCACGAGATCTAATAACTTTTTCACGGTCGTCTCAAAATTTTTTTTTGGTAGGAGCCTTAATTAGCGTGGCAAAAATATAGTTAATTGTTTTTCTTGGCATCTAACGGTGTTCTCCCTTCCAGGTACAAGTGGGTGCCAGCACCGATGCTCTAGAAGGTCTAGCAGCGAGGAGCAGCCACAGCCGCCATGTCGTCGGTGAAGGTGGCGGTCCGGGTCCGCCCGTTCAACTCGCGCGAGATCGCCAGGGACTGCAAATGCATCATCGAGATGTCTGGCAATACTACAAGTAAGTACTTTTAAATAAGATACATATTTGATTGCACGTCTCTATGTTCTTTCAACACTAGGTGCCCGAACCAGTGAATGGTTGGGTTGATAGCGATTTCACTCAAAGTTAAAGTAATGAGAAAATTAACAAATGCTCAGATCCCCAATAAAATCCTCAAATGCTAGTACTTAAATGTATTTTATGTAAAACAGTAAACCTGGAATTTAGAGAAAACAGAACAAGGAGTAGAAACAGCATATTTACTTCTACTACTATAATTGGTAAAACAATTGTATAAGTAATACGTTTTGTCCATAACTTACAGTCAGTATAGTTTGTGTGCATTCTTGGCTGTAAAACTCATAAAACTCATTTTATTTTTGCAAATATATAGGCTTTTAAAAAGCACTTTTACACGTCCCAGTATTATTAACCCTACCACTACTTCGGGACTCTTACAACCCTGATGTTTAAATTGCATACAAAATGGCAGTTAACGGGCCCTATTTGACTCTTCGACGAGAAGCGTCAATGAACCATTGTTAAACAGATTTAGTGGACTTGACCTTCGTAGTTACTTGGGAGCAAGCTTAGGTTGTATAGGGTGCAGGGACAGAAATTTGTGTCGGGTTGATCACTAGTGTCTTTACAGCTGTTTTTTGAAAACAATAGTTAATTGTAAAAATAGCAACTGCTCATAAAACTGGCAGTATTTAGTAGGTTTTGAACTACGCAGCACACAAAGGCCATTGTGCTGCTATTTCAAGCACTCTGGCTATATTGTTGGCTTAGTTGAGGGAACATTTTTGTCTTCAAATTACACGTATATTTCTTACACTTTTATAAAACTAAATTTTCATAACCGAAAATATGTCAACAGTTACCTAAATCATACTTATTCTACTTTTGTCACACTATAAAAGTATAAAACCGTTTTCTAAGTCAAATGGTTTGGTTTTCCACACGTTCTTACTGCGCAGTAGAGAATACGGTGCCAACTGCTGGAAGGTCGAGGGAAGCCCTTCAAGTAAAAGCAATGTCAGGAGAAATCAATCGCCCGCTGCTTTATGTAATACCGGAACTGAAGTAGCCACTTAAACTGATTATGCTTATCGTAATTTTGGATACGAGAGAAGGATTTGAAAGGGAGATGGGGGTAAAAAGAACACATTTTTTCGATATATTGTCGTTTATTCTTAATGACCATTGTATATCAGGAATTTAGGTTACAAGTTCTGTTGATACAATGTATTTTACACATGCAAGGCGAGGATGCATTCATAAAATTACACGCGTTTTTTTTTGTGAAATGTCGGTGATCAATATTTGGACGATGTATTGTAAAGTGCATATTACTTGCTGAAAGAAAATTCACCCTGAAACATCTCAAAATATTTTTAGACATCCTTTTACTCTAGAAATATTATTGAGAGTTTCGATAGTGAAGGTAGAAAGCTAGAAACGTCTAGAGAAGAATGTGTGCGGAAGCGTGTGGTATGTGTTTTCACACGACCCGGATATATTGAGTCCATCCGTACTCGTGCGCGGATTTGACTTGCTAGATAAACCCTGAAGCAATTGACTATTTGACACCATTCCCTAATCATTCAAAATCACAACTTTCTTAAAAAGACACTTCATTCTGGTCTTAAAAACTTGCTTAATTTAAATTACGTGTGTAAATTGAGATTTTTCGTTCATTGTAATTGAGAAAAGTAGTATATTGAGTTGACTAAATAGTGACGTCACTTGCTTGTATTGCCATTTAAAATCTATGGGAGAGTCTCATTTTGACAGAACAGTCTGTTTTTTGTATTTTTAGGTACTTCTATCCTATAAATCTCATTTAGAGCTGCACAATGCAGAAAGCTAAAATGTCTAGAAAAGAATGTCTGCGGACAGCGTGCGGTCTTTTCGACCCCGTTATCTTGACTCTTCAATTTATTGCTAGAGAACCACCCTGTAACAATTTATTGTTGTTGAATATTCAACTTTGCTGTTAAAAGATTAAGGTTTTCGGCGTTAGACAAATGGGAGAGATAAATTGTTTGTTCAAGTGGATGTGCAGAACAAATTGAAGTTGGTTACTTAAACTAAAGCTGTTGTCTATTCACGCACGTCTGATAAAAATACCTACATGTAAATGATATCATCCACAGTTAAAAAACGTACATTACACATTTCTCATAAAGCCTTCAAAAACCTGACGTTTTTAACGATATAGTCATCATCATTATCAGTTTTAACCTATGACAACTTAAAAAATTACGTAGAGCTGACATTTAAACTCTACGACCAATTAAGGCTTTTGCCAGTCTAGCCTTTTGAACTGTGTTGCAGCTAGGGTTTGCAAAAGTCCAACATTGGTTTCTAAAAATACTTAGCATATTTTTGTTTAAAAATATTTTTGTATCTAAACATTTGAACTTGAAAAAACTAGTGTATTTTTATAAGAAGCCTGAGAAAAAGCAATCCCATCAAAAACAATACTTGTCAAAAAAACCAAGTCTCGCAACTCAGTTGTTCTACGGTAAAAAGTTGTGAGATCCATGTAATACCAAGTCCAGGCCAGGAAATCTTTAACGTTTTACTTAAATTATTGACTTGGCCATCGCACTAAATAATTTAATTTACACGTGTTTTCATGCGATGGCCAAGTCAATATATTTATGTAAAACGTTAAAGATTTCCTGGCCTGGACTTGGTATTACATGGATCTCACAACTTTTTACCGTAGAACAACTGAGTTGCGAGACTTGGTTTTTTTGACAAGTATTGTTTTTGATGGGATCTCATTTCTTTTTGTATTTTGTAGACAGCAGTTATGTATCTAGAAAACTGGACCGAAATTGAAAAATTTTACTCGACTTGGCGGTTGCACTACCGTGCCCCCAAATATTTAAGTTTTTCCTTGATTCATACACCAAACACTACTTATATTCCAAATTTGAAGCTTCTAGGTCTGCTAGAAGTGCCTTAGAGTTTTGATGATCGGTGAGTCAGTGAGTCAGTGAGTCAGTCAGTGAGTGACAAAATTAAGTAACTTTGACCCGTTATAATTCTTAAACTACCGGTTCAAATTGAATGAAATTTTAAATATACCGTGTCTTTACAATGCCTGCATAGCTAATGAAAATTCAGCCTTCTAGTTTTATCCACAATGAAGTTACAGGCGGTCGAAAATGGCCTGAATTGCTTCGAGAAAAGGATAGTACGGCCGTGCCGCTTTTTTGCTCGACTTGGTGGGGGCACTGCCGTGCCCCCAGATCATGGCTACATTGCTTTTAAATATTTTGTTCGAAAAAATCTGAGTTCGCGATCCCAGACAACCCTAGCTGCACATCTAACGAGCGTTGCACCTCGTTAACTGCCACTGACTCTCAATAAAAATGAGGTTGCAAAACTCTACACTCAAAAGTGGTCTCTACGATTCGAGCACACAGCATATAGCTGCATTCGCTGTGACTAGGTACGCACACTCAGCTATTCAAATACGTCTAGACGTTTACTGGATGGAATTATTTTGTTTTTTTTTTGGTGTTTTACAGTTGGTTTTTCCGTTTACCTCGGGTCACGTAAAGAGTGCAGCAGCTTTGCAGTTTTAGAGTGCAACTATAAAAAAATTCTAGAAAAATAACACAGAAATCAAATAGATTAAATATTATTAAACATACATGTTGGGTTATCAAATAGATCAATGTATATTGTACACAGCTACTACAGATTTTAAGGCTTACCTCATGCTGTCGTAAACCACCCAAATAGAATAATATTTCTGCGTTTACAACCCAAGTAACACGCAAGCTGTATATTCACTGAAGTTAAGATTGATTTACGTTTTAAAGTCAGACTATCACTTTAAATCAGTTTTGACTTAGTTTAAATGCTTTTGAGTAGAATGCGGTAAAATTTACAATGCATGAAGCTATTATATGGTCTAAAAAATTAAGTTAATTGGCTTATAATCATACTAAAACATTAATTACTTTTAATATACAGCACCTTTAACAGCATTTACACTAACACAAAGGTTAAAACCGTATATTAGTAAATAAGAAAACCTGATGCATTAAATAAACGTTGTCGAAATATTCTATAGTGCATTCAGATATATTAACACATTTTACAGATTGAACGCATTTTTATGATCTTTTCTTATGCTTATTTACTGCTCAGCATTAGCCAAACATTTACTAAAGTTTTAGCTCTGTTATCTTCTTATTTTATTGTTACTTTAAAGCTTTTAGCACTATTTAGATAAATAAAAAAAATATTTTATTACTTTAGGTCATAATTTGGCCATAAAACCACGAGCCGTATGATTATATTCATTTGTGCGTTAGTAGGTCCTGTATATTCATTAGAAAATTTATGTCGAACGTGTCACGTTATTGACATGAATAAACAGTGGAAAAAAACTTAAGGCCGGGTTGCACCAACTTACTTTAACAAACGTCAAAAATCTGTCAAACCCCATACAAAAAACATCGGTTATCGTCATAGTTACGGTCAAAGTTAGGTGGTGCAACTCAGCCTAAGAGAACAGGTGGAGTAAAGAGAAAGATAAAGACGGAATATTCAAACTTTATATTTGGTTTAAGAAATGCAAAACGTGTTCCAAAAAATGATACACCTCATACACAAAATACAGTACAATCGGTTGTTGTGTGAGTCAAGAAGTTCCGTAGAACATTCCTTCATCCCTTTCGGTCGTTTGCACTATTTTAAAAGGCATCTGAAAAAAAAAAAAATAAGCTTATTTATGACTTAATAGAGAAGTAGTTACCTGAATTCTAAATAATTACCCGTATAACGCATACCCTTAAAAAAACGACTACAGCAACACTACTAACTAGTTACAAAAAGTTCCTTTAAATTATTACTATTACAATGAGCGAAAAATAAGATAGGTAGCTATATCGTGTTTCATTACAAATTACATTTGTAGTGATAATGATTTTATACTTAACACTTGTCAAACTAGGTACCTACCTAATTGGAGACAGATAAAATTGAAA